GCACGCGCAGGATTGTGGATGAGCAAGAGGGGCAGCCAGAAGAGAGTCGTCAGGTTGTTGAGTGTATCCATCACGCCGGAGGGGCAAATGGCATCCTGCAGTGAAGACGGGAGCCCGAGAGTAGGGCCGTCGCCTGCAGCGTGTGTGCCACGCGGCGGCAGACCACTACGGACCCACCGCAGAATACCAAGCACATGTGCTCCAAAATAATAAACAGACTTTACGCGTTGTCTGCAATCCATCGCAAGTTTACGAACAAGGCTATTCTTCCGCACGGTCATTAATGTTCGCTACAAAACACCTTACAGTATCAATATGTACGCGATGATTCGGAATTGACCACTGGTGTGGCATCTTCGAGGAAGCAGATCTCGGAGAGAGAGAAGGCACGTCCTGTTATTATCCAGTACCCATGGTCTGCCAATGTGCATCCACAAACTCGGACACGCACTTTTCCAGTTCGTTTTGGAGCAAGACTCAGAAGGCCGCTACACTATCAAGAGTCTTGAGTACGACGTGTATCTCCGCTTGTCCAACAAGTGCATCGACCACTCAACATATCCTGTTATATCGTCGTCGAGCGGGTATCTTTGGTCTCTCATCTGCGGAGGATGGCGGCTATTTGTATGTGGCACTCACCATTATTCCATCGGAAACAAAGCGTCCCGCAGAGTGTGCTCTTTTTTGCAGCCAGAATTTTATCTGCACTTGGATCACGGAGAAGAAGATACGCCAGTGCGTCCGCTTGAACGTGCTTGCTTGTCAAAACGCTCATCCGGCACAGGTTCATGCTACCCACCAATTCGAACGCTCCCCCCACTTCACATTCAAGGTATTTCGCTGCCCATTGCTCGCCGATGACTGGCACTAAGGTTCACAGTTTTGGCATCTGGTTTAGGCCCGTTGAAGTGTAGAGCTTCGGCTCTCCACCTCGCAAAGCCAGCTCAGAACAACACCTATCGCCACCATTTCCCGTCTGTAATGCCTCGTTGGCTACAGCGTCCTTTCGTTCACGATCATGAAGGTTGCGATCGCTCGCTCCCACACGCCCATACTCTGCTTGACGACTAGCCATAAGTACGCATGGACGTATAACACCAGTCACTCGCTCGCCGCAAATTTCGGCTCTACACTGCCTAATTTTCTGCTTATAACACGGCGCGTTTACTGGCTCTTCGCGCTTCATATATTGATACCTAATCCGTCCATTCATTTATTTGATCAGATCCTCCTTTCATGACAGCCCACGCCAGGTCCCCTGGGCTTATCGGTACATCTCTGCGCCCGTACTCTGCTTTACCTCAGCGGATGCTGAACGCTCACCGACGATAGAAATAATTAACTTTCGACAGCGACACATGAAGTGCAGAGGATCTGTAAGGAAGCTCAATACATCTGCAGCACTCAAAGACAAGGGAGACATGCTAAAGCGTGACACGCCACTGCATCTTAGCCCAGATCTGAATTCCGTTCGTTGACGCTGGCACTGGCCTGAGACAAGGCACTGGCTGCATAGTGGAAGGCTGGTTCAAATACCTGCCACCATCACCTGCCTGTAAGGCTTTGTCAGCTATAACGTTCTCGTCCACGAACACGAATATTTTATAGCACGCTTCAATCATGTTCATTCTTTACTTGGCAGGTACCCATAAGTATACATGGATGCACAACACCAGTTACTCGCTCGCCGCAGGTTTCGGCTTCGTACCTACTTTACTAATTGAAATATAAAACATACCCCATCACCCTACCTATGCACGGATGACTGTGGAAATGACCATCGCGGACAAGTCTTCGACTAAGCCGCGCTCAGTGTTCCTCTGCGGGAAGGGTTGTATAAATTGTTCATACTAATACAGTAAATGAGTTGTGCGTGCCCGGTAGCTACCTTTATCTCTATATAAACACACAGCGATCCGTATTCTCTCTTGAATATACAAGATTGCTCCCTCATCGGAAGGGCAGCGCACTTGGGGTGACCTCCGTGTGTGTCCATCTCATACAGGTTCCCACAACCTCGGCTCAACAAGAAACTCAAAAATGACCGTTCGTTGACAAAAGCAATCCACCCGAGAAGCATAGCCCATCGTGATGGGCAAATGAAAAACGTCCCAGAGTTCCTGAGGGTATGCTTTCTGGCAGCACACGAGCCGATGTGTCAAGCGGCACACCGCCTAAACTGGAAGGGAATATACTAGTCAGCCAAACAAATCACCGACGGGATAGGCGATGTCAATACCTCAAAGGCGAAGCAGCTCTCACTGAGTTCGCTCGGATACTGCGTGGCATAGACCTGCAGTAGATGAACGATAAGCTCAACGGGACCGACGAGTCCAATCCAAACAAACCGGTGTGTTCTGTGTCCCATCGCACAAGCACACAGAGAGTTCGGGCTTCAAGAACGGGCGAATCCTGTGGCGCGTGCATTCAGGTTTGGTAGCCGTAACACGAAGGCAAATATTTTATACGTGTAGAGTCTGGTCTTGGACCCAGACGTGTCGAACATGCGAGAAGAATGCTCCACGGGGACAAGGCACCAAGAGTAGCGGTTCTGCAACGGCTTGATGTATATAGCGGAGGCGTCTGCGTAAGCATCGGGGAGGCCAAGGTATGTATCGTGCTCGAGACTTTTAATGGTGTAGCGGTCCTTATAGTCCCGTTCGATGATGAACTGCACCGGGATACATCAGTACATTAATTTAATCGTAACAAGAACAGGTCGGACGCGCCTTTTCTTTGCCGGGAACAACAGCTGTCAAGAACGGGGCACCAGAAAGAAGTTCGGCATTCCTGTCCGTGGTGGGGAGTTGTAGAGGCGTGCCGAACTGAACATTGACAATTCGATATGTCCCACTCTGAGGGAGTTTCCAGACCGTGCTTGAGAGCGCGTTCCCCATAATGGCCACTTCCACTACCAGTGTGACGTGAGACGATCAGGCTGATAGCACGGGAAGGTGGGCGGAAAAGATGTGCGGGGAGGTCAGTGGATGTCATTCTGTGAGTACGAGTCCTTATATTTATTCAATATGTTGTTTGGGCCTTGGTGGATCTTGCGCACGTCTGCGTCTATCTACCTTGATAGTCGCCATTGCTGTGACTCAGCGCTCAGCGCTCGCGCGTCTGTTGGATGTTTGGCGCCAGTGTCCATGGGCAGATTGTTTCGCGATCGCTCCCCATTGGATCCCCATGCCTCCCATTGCATCTTCAGCGCCAGAACTGTCAAATTCAGCGTCCGCACTCTGGTAAGAAGAAGACCCAAGCACTTACCTCACCGCCTCAGCGCCATTGAGAAAATCAGCTAGATTAGAATCATTGCATGACTGAACTTTGAGAGTAGCTACCAGTACTATCCTGTCTCTCACTTGTCAGCAGGTCCTACATTTGGCAATTAGTACCACATATCATGATCGTCATTATAATACTTGTTGTGTCACACCTCTACATTCTATCAATCACTATATTTCTTTATAAATCTCGTAAGGTGAGTCGTTCAATGCGTCGCGTGAGTCTAAGCGCTACCTAGGAAGTCATTTCGACAGGAAAATAGGAGGGAAACGAATGAAAATAAAGATCTACAAATCACAGAGCGAGAAGGAAAGTAAGAAGATCCACCAATTTCTGGATAGGGACGATCTTAGTAGAATCTGGTTTAAGGAGGAGCGGCACTTACCTCATGCACCTTCACCACTTCGTCGCTTCGGTAAGAGCTTGACAATTCGATTTCTTTTTACTTCTGCACCATGCTTTCCAAAATACCGCTCGGTCATGAAACTCCAATGCAGAGAGCCGACAATCCAGTCCTGCAATCCTTGTACGTAGAGTGCAACTTCTCGGTCGATGTCGGGACTCCACGAAGGAATCCGCTGCTGGTTTTCGATAAAGCCGTCTATTGTTTGTGCGCACAGCTGTCCGACGTAGTCGATGGCATCCTGCAAGACGAGGCCTTGATGTACCATGAGAATGGGAATCATCTTGCAAAGACCGTTACTTTGTGCACCGCTGAATGAAGTGGAAGTATACACACATTGTGGGTGTCGCCCCTTGACTGTTCAACATTGTAAGAAAAAATATCCTATATCCAGAATCAGCGGCCGGAGAAGGACGATGGTCGTCTACAGTAAGACACGTACGTTGCTCCATCTAATAACGGAGACACTCTTGAGTATGCACTCGTAACGAGGAGCATGTAGTGAAATTGCTCACGTAACGAGATCGTTCGCAGCTTGATTGAGCGACTTGATCACCGGATGTTCCACTACAAAGTCGGGCAGGTCGATGTCCATGGCATATTCAATGAGGTCGAATGACGGTTTGCAACCGCTGGTGTCGCGCCGGATCTATCCATCCTATATTTCAGCGTCGACTCGTCAAAAGCAATACCATGCTTACATCGATGTACGACTCGAGGTCCGGAACGACTCCAGCCTCGCGGTCCATCGTTTGCTGCTGCACAGCCTCGAAGAACAGCTCGAGATTCTCCTTGAAGCGGGCCTGCGGCCCCGGCTTGGCGTCCTTGATGCAGCGCGACCAGTAGCTGTGGGCCGAGCCAGTAAATAAAGAGCAGTGCATCGAGTTCGAAAGCGAACCAACTCACTCTCTCGCCAATCTACTCGCACTGTACTCTCCCTCAGGCTGCTCCTTTCCCTGGAAATGGGTCGGCGCATAACGCTCGGGGAACCAGTGTGCATTCATCACTGCGTCCGCGAGCTGCTCGGTCCCGCGCTCCGCCATCGCGTCGGAGATGTTGTCGAGGTGGAACAGGTAGATCAAGAAATCTGCGACGATGCGGAGGCGCGACGCCGTGGCATTCGGGTAGCAGTGGGCGGTAAGGATCCCTGACTTGAGCGTGTAGATCGCTGCGCGTTTCTTCGGCGAGAGGTCTGGGCAGTTGTCGTCAAGCCATCGATCGGAGGCGGCGGCGATAGCTTCCCCGTCGGGGTGGCGCGTCAGCGGAAACGTGCAATGCGCGATGAGGTCCGGGAGGACAAAGCTGGTTGGAGCGGCACTGATGGTGGCGGGTGGTTGGCCGGGCATAATTGCAAGCAGGGAAGGAATCCAGAAACCCATAAAGTTCAGCCATCCCACCGCCCAATATATAGCCGAAGCAAACGAGGAACAAAGCAAGCCTAGCCGACCTGCGAGGCTTCTCGCCGCCATATTTGATGGGAATATTTGCATGCTTCAGATCCCCAGCTGATCATGGCTTTGTGTAGGGTGCGTAGTGACAATTGGGACTTTGACCAGCGGGTGCAGGTTCCGCGGTAGATGGCTGCCTAATGGCCCAAATGGACGGATCCATCAGAAATTTCTGTGGACGACAAGAAGAAGTTGTGGAGTAACCTAGCTCTAGCGAAGGCACGCTCCACTCAGCGAGCCAATGGTGGCTTGGCAACCTCATAAAATAAAAGGTCCGGCCATGTGCCTTGAACACGAGCAATCTGCGCTAAGAGCGGATCTATCGTCGTACCCTATCGCGACACACAGGCATTGTCGGGACCGAGATCAACCGTTTGGGTTTTGAGTCCTTTCTGCAATAGTTAGCTTCCGCGTCTACGCTTGGCGCACAAATAGTAGAGCCGGAAGCATTGAAGACCAAGTATCTCGATGCGCCTCTTGTGGGAGAAAAGGAGCCCTACGAATGACAAATATGAATACGAACCAATGCCCTCATCCAAGGACGTAAAACGCTGCTTATTGTATGAACACACAATAAGACGCTTAACCGGCAACCCAGGGGACGAGTAGCTTAATCACGGTAGCGACGAATTTGATCGAAAGTATGGCGGACTACATTGAATGAGCTAATAGGTTACATTGTCTTTCCGCTTTACAGAACATCGGCAAGATTGTGTCTCACCTTGGTGTGAGGTCCGGCTGTTGAGCGTCCCAAAATGTAACATAGCGAAATCAACTTACATGAACAGTATTGAATAGCCTGAACGTGAGCAAGAACAGGTGTCGCAAAATTCAAATCAGGATCGTTCTAGATACCAATTCATGCAAATGGCGTTCAGGTGCGTAGTGATTCCTAACCAATCAATCCAAGTCGATATGTTTTTGAAGCGATGTATTCTCGAGTGTATACTGTCCATTACATTATGCGGATATGCGATGCGTTGCTGCGCAAGAAAAAGGGAGCTACAATGCTTGTTAGAGTTTGATGAAAGATGTATCCATGCCGTGAGAGAAGTCCCATATGCAGATCCTCTATATGAGAAGGCCATTTGCATGATAAGCACACACGAATTGAGAGCATGAGATCTTACCTGATCTTCGCCGCAAGACACGATCTACAGAATCCCGGGATTCAATATCAGCGAACAATCTGCACATGCTCACAATCATATTCTCACCTTGGTACAATCAAGCCCCACGCAAAACACTCTCCCAACGTGCCCACCAGTGAGATCAGCGATGAGTGTCCCACTCGTACGATTCCACACCTATTCCAACAGAAAATCAGAAATTCGAAGAGAGCACAACGCATGCGACAAACTTTAACAGTATGGTCGTAGCTCCCGCTCACGACAAGATCGACACTCATCGCCACACTTCGTACCAGGTCTCGGTGTGTACGTGGCCGATTACAGGGTTCAAGATCGCCATTCGGGGAACCCCGGATTCCCTCACCACACGCTGAGCACAACGTGTTTGATGACCGAGAGTGTGATCTAGCAGAATTCGTGGCCGTCGACCACCCTTTCGTGGTAGACAAATCCAAGAGTCGAAGATGTTTGTCAGACGATCCAGATATGACGTATGGCGGCTTGAAATCAGTGGCAGCGATACTGGATGAAATGTACGTCAGCTTGAGATGGTGCGGAATCGAGATTTAAAGGTGTTTACCCTCGACCATGATGTTGCTCGAAAGTGCGCAGTAGGGCACCTGAGTCCGCATCCCACAGCCGTATTGTCCGATCCCCTGATGCCGAGATGATTTGGTTAGACGCGATTGAAACCGCATTGACGGCGGCACGATGGCCCTGGAGGACGTGCTCTGGAGCCATGTCTGGCATCAAGTACGTCCGCACCGTTTTGTCTGGGATGTGAATGGAATGAATAAGCTGTGTAAATTCGTAGGGGCAATAAGCATACCTTTAGAACAAGAAACCAACCGTTTGTCATCGAAGCGCACACATAGCACACTATCTTCATGATCACGTAGCGACTTAATGAGTGACCCAGTAGGTAAATCCCAGATCGCCACCTGCCAGTCGCTTCCCCCGGACGCAATAATGCCATCATGGACGCATATACTGAGCACACTACTCCCATGAGCGTCTTCAATGACGCGTATCACCTGGCCTGTAGTGAGATCCCACTCTCGTATAGAGCGGTCTTTCGATCCTGTAAACAGGACTTGAACGCCAGTGTCAGGGTACGTGTACAGTTGCAGGCAGTATATGGTGTTGGTGTGGCCGTTTGTGACGCCACTCATCGGAAAGGTATACAACATGTAAGACCCATGCAGCATGCGGTTGTGGAGGCGAGTCTGGGTCCGGTGAAGAAGCTTGTAATCGACCTTGACGACATGTTCTGGCTGCTGGGTACGTGACATCGGGCGCAACTGAGCTTCGTGGCTACAAGCAGGGCTTGGGTGAGTAATGGTGGTATAGTCCTGAGCTTCATTGAAGCCATCGACCATCATAGATGCGAAGCCGGAATCCTCTCCGCCCTCGCTGTCGAACACCGCTTCAGAGTCTTCTTCCGCGCCCATACCTTCGTCATCCGAGTCTCCAGAAATAGGATATGTATATGCGGTGTCAGGCATACGGGGGGAAGAAGACGATGTACGCCATTCCCAGTCACGTTGCGAGCATAAAGCCTTCCACAGCGACTGGTCTTCTGCGAGAACGCGCCAACTTCGGCTCACCAACGAGCATGTGAGGAGCGATTCCGACGGAAGGAAGGACAGGATGTGTAGCGCCACTTCATACGGCAGGAGCTGTGGTCGTAAATGTATCTATTTCAATCATTGGACGAGTGTGAGGCACGCACCCCAACTAGGTCAAATCGCAATAGCGGGGCTATCCGGCGCTGTAGCGCAGCGATACTTGAGAAGGGGAGCGAAGATATGATCGCAAAGGCGAGTTCTGGGACGGTGTATGCGTCAAAGACCACGCTACGGAGTAAATCAAAAACAAATGACTCGTACCTTCTTTGTCTCGGATCGAAGTGAAGTTGGCGAGTAATGCGTCCGTACGCTGCAGCCTGAGGATCTCTCTGCAAGAGTTGCTTTCGACACTCATCTTCTCGATATTCTGGTAGGGGTAGGCTTGAAGGGATGATGGCGGGAAGACGCAAGCGAGCTGGAGCATATAGGCGTCTAACACACTGTTGCTCGGCTGTCAGAGTTTACGACTAATTAATCGCGACAATTGTAATGAGCGCACCGACGCTCGAACAGTCAAATAGAACCAGCTTCAGATGTCGGCAGTGGATAGTCGGATGATAAAGTACACGACCGGCCACTGGAGAGCGGTGGCGACGATGTGGCTGAAGGCCGTTTCATTGTCATATACTTGTGGCGGGCGTTTATTTTCTCTTTACTGAGCTGGTCAGCGGATCAGCACTTCGCTCCTACAGTCCTGAAAAAGCGACCGATCCCGTGGCTCCCAAAGGCCCGACGACACTGGCAAGAAATACGATAGCAGAGATTCGAACCGGAGGACTACTCAAAACTTGGTCATTGCGCACTCAAGGATTATGCCTTTCCAAGTGGCGATAGAGAACAGCTGCGGACAAGTGGAAAGTTCCATTGCACGAGCTCTATAATGCACATGGTAATGATACAAGACAGCTCAGGAGCCATCAAATGAAATACGCAGTGAACCCTGGGCGGAGGGTACGCTGTGATATGAATACGATATGCAAGACGATGGTCGCAACGAAGGAAGTGTAGTAATGGAGGAGCAAAAACGCGGAACAGACCCACAACCCTAACCTAGTGACATAAATGCAGTCCATAATGAGGTTAATGGCTCAGTGTTGAGCCCAATTAATCGTATTGATGTCGATGCCCTCCTGGACCATCTCCCACAACGGACTATAATAGGAGTGGATATTAGAGCATAGGATGAAAATCGTTGAGATATGCATACCTCATGTCACGCAATTTCTGCACAACGGCAACAATTTTTTCGACAACGAAGTCGATCTCAGCCTCCGTCGTGAAGCGGCCCATCCCGAACCGAAGAGAGGAGTGTGCCATGTCCTCAGCAGCACCTGATCGTTGTTATTAGCAAGGCTCATTATCATACCACCAATATACTCACCAAGGGCACGAAGAACGTACGACGGCTCAAGAGACGCCGATGTGCACGCACTTCCTGACGAGAGAGCAATATCCTGCCAGAAAGGATAATCAGCACACTCTTTGTGCACGAATAGGCGAGCATCATACCTTCAGCGCCATCAGAAGACTCTCGCCTTCCACGTATGCAAAGCTTAAATTGACGCAGCCAGGATAGCCGTTCACGTCGCCATTGCGGATGACATGGTCGACCTTTGCGTTAATGCCGGCAATAAGACGGTCAGAGAGCTCTCTGACACGAGCATGATCCCGCTAAAAATGTGCCATCAGTATGGCGCACAGATGGGTCGAAGATGATATGATGGGGCAAAAGCTCAGTACCCCTGCACGGTGCATCTCGGCTACGCCGGCGCTGGGCGAGGCCCAGACCAGCCGCGAAGCTCATGTCATATATAAGGTTGCGTGCGGGTTTCATCAAAGCACCAGACGGAACTCGTACTCACCGCCATTTCTTGCTTCGCAATCCGTGCTGCTTCACCAATCCCAACCACGAGCGCAGGCGCAAGTGTTCCGCTCCGTAAGCCACGCTCCTGCCCACCACCGCTAATGATAGGGTCAATGCGAACGCGGGGTCGCCGCCGGACGTACGCGGCACCAATGCCTTTGGGACCATACAGCTTGTGGCCGGAGATACTAAGCAAGTCGACGTTCATCTCGTTAACATCAATGGGTATTTTGCCAGTTGCCTGCGCAGCGTCGGTATGGAAGTGCACGCCACGGTGCTTGCGCAGTAGTGCGCCGATTTCCTTCATTGGTTGGATAACACCAGTCTCGTTGTTCACAGTCATGATAGAGACAAGCGAGGTATCGGGACGGATGGCAGCCTCGAGCTCAGCAAGGTCGACGATACCGTTCTTCTGCACAGGCAAGTACGTGACATCGAAACCTTCTTCCTGAAGCTTGCGGCACGAATCCAGGACACATTTATGCTCCTAAGATCAGCTGGTAAGAAGAGTAATCCTAACTTGCTGATTGGCTCAAACCTACTGTCTGCACAGTAATGACATGCTTCTTTCGGTCCTTGTGGAAGCGGGCGACGCCTTTTATGGCCATATTGTTCGTTTCAGTGGCGCCTGATGTGAAAACGATGTCTTTTGGGTCGGCACCAATGAGGTCTGCCACATGCTGTGTCTGTTGTCAGCATGGAACGCGCGAAATCAATTCAGGGAACACGCCTTTCGTGCATCCTCCACGGCCGTTTCTGCCTCCCATCCGTAGGCGTGGGTTCTACTGTGTGGGTTGCCGTACTGGTCGGTCAGGAAGGGCAGCATAGCGTCGAGTACTCGGGGATCGACTGGAGTCGTTGCCTGTAGGGGACACAGAACGTGAGATAATGGCAACGAGCGGAGATAAGCGCGGCCACCCACTTGCATGTCGAGGTAAATAGGGCGGAGGACGCTGCCTATGTTCCCCTCGCGTCGAGGAACCTCCAATTTGAAGCCAAACATGTCTGCAGGTGAATGTAAGCCGCGGGCAGGCGGAATGGGTGCGTACAAACGACGCCAGCTCACCTGCGCTGGGTGTGAAGTGCTCATCGCCCTCATACGACGATGGAACATCGACGACACTCGCTCTGTCGGCACCCGACGGCTGCACGAGTGTCCTGCGAGCATTTTTGATCGCGAGCTTGGCGGACGAGGCCCTGAGGGCGGAGCGAGAGACGGACTTGCTCGCCTGGGATGACACTCTGGAGAGCATGGTGGTGGTGGATACGGAATGGGAGCGAAAGGGCGGATTATCTGATAAGTACTGGCCATAGCGCGGGGCGCCGGAATCGCGAGGCGGTGATTGGTCAGGAAGTCACGGCAGGCCCATCTCTAGCCAATCGCCGCGCGCGACATCCTCAGCGGCCGACGGGATTCGTCGCCGGCCGCCACCAGACTCCCACCCGGCTCAGCCCGTCGCCCTATCCCCAGCCCAGCTTTGCTAAGTCAATCGTTACCATATTTAGAAATAGCCTCGTGTCGACGCACGGACCACCTGCGGCATCCTTTTGAACTCAGCCGACCACAACAAACCTTATTCCTTTCTCTTTCACCGCCATGGCTCGTCGTCTCTACCTCGGCAGTAATGCATCTTGCTCAGTTCGCAGCTTCAACACCTTCACTTATGCTTTTTCATAGGACTTCCCCCTGATGCGCGCTCTGAAGACGTGTCCAAGTTTTTCGATGGGTATGGTCGCATTGTGGACTGTCGTGTCATGACCGGCTTTGGCTTCGTCGAGTTCGAAAGTTCCCGCGATGCAGACGACGCTGTCCGCGACTTCAACGGGAAAGCCTTTATGGGAGCCAAGTATGACCTCTTGTCTCCGCCCTTCGCTTTAGGTGCCTGGTGCTGACTAGTTGCAAAGTATTGTTGTTGAATTTGCAAAGGAAAGTCGCCCTCGCAGGGAAGTGTTCGAACCCGAACGCGCCCCTCGTGCAAGACGCCCTCCTGGATTCCGCCTCGTTGTTTCAGGCATATCTCGTGACACAAGCTGGCAGGTATGAATACCTCATTCACCGTGTGGACTGTCGACTGTGATCTGGCGTCATTGGGCTCCGTCCACTTGTTTACATGGCGTTCGGGATGCTTTGGCTCGAATCCAGTTCTGGAATGCGTGGCCGGAGAACGTGGCTTACCCTGGATCAAACACTGGGCCTTGTCAGATCGGGCTGATTGTATTTCACCTAGGATTTGAAAGATTTCGGTCGCGAAGCTGGCAGCGTCTCTTACGCAGACATCGATCGCGATGCTGCTGGAGAAGGGTATATCTTTAAAGCCAATGATTACTTTTGTCTGCTGACAATTTGATTATGTTAGTATCCTAGAGTACCTTTCTCGTGATGATGCCGAGCGCGCTGTGAAAGAACTCGATGGTAAAGATCTCCGTGGTCAGCCTGTTCGCGTCGCCCTAGATCTTGAGGTGTGTATTTCCGTCATACACACAGCCTGAACTCACGAGTGTCTTTCTAGCGGAGTGGTCCGGACAACTATCGTCGGGACACACGTCGTGATGATCGTGGTGGTCGAGATGAACGTTACGGGCGTGACGATCGTCATACTAGAGATGACCGTTATGCTCGGGATGATCGTTACACCAGGGATGACAGACATGTTAGGGACGACCGCTTTGGAAGAGATGATCGCGCTCCAAGAGACGATCGTCGGGAGGACCGTGCCCCATACCGTCGGGATCGGTCTCGGTCCCCTCCTCGGCGCAGCGACTTTGACGATCGTCGGGCCCCCAGGTCTCCCCCTCCGAGGAGGGATGTTGATGAAAAAAGGCCTGCAGGGTACGATGATCGGCGGAGCAGCTATGATGACCGTCGAGGCCCTGACCCTTATTATTATGATCGTCGTAGGGATGACAGAAGACGCGACGAGAAGGAGGAACGATTCGACGACAGGGCTCCTAGACATGCCAATGCGAACGGTGATAGTGGATGGGCGCGATGAGTGGGCCGTGGCTTTCTGGATAACGTCCGATTGCTAGGTGGACCGATTACTTTGGTGGCCCACGAAAGGAGCTTCAAAAAGGCGTTTGGGACAGACTGCTCGATATGATTCTCTGTACGGACCGCGCATCGTGTACTTGAGGTTGGCTTATCCCGTGTTGGATCGCATTCGTGGATGGCTTCCGTTGGCAGATTCCCGAGGCCTGAGGACCGTGCTTATTGGCGCGTAGAACAGGACGAGAAGGTTGTCCGTGGATGGCTCGCCTTGTGGAGAGGAATTGATGTGGGCTCAAGCGGTGAAGCCGTTCAGAACTGGCCTGATAGGCGTGTGCACAGAAGATCCTGCCTGTGTTCTCTGCGCGTGGCGATAGAAGGACTATTGGTGGGAATAGTCGTCCAAGGCCTCTGGATCCCAGTGGCTTTCAGCTGCCAGGTGCAAGCCCAACTTGGATACGACCAGATCATGGATTGTCGTGGTGGCCGCCGCATTGCAGATTCGCTGGTCAAATTTGTGTTGAAAATCTTCCCATTTATCTGTGATGTGCATGTAGTTTCAATGCAATGTTATTTTGCTTTCTCTGTAAATCTTCTGTGGCACGGACCCATTGGCGAAGGCGCACCCCAAGTGGGTAGGTGGCTTACCATTGTTTATTGTGTGCGAACTGAGTAATGTTGCTCGAATAAGAGGTAACCAATTTACGACAGATATTGGTAATAGTGTCAGCAGACTCGCCGCCATGAGTTTATAGCATGTTGTTGGGATTATGATCCTTCCACGGTACGTCTGCTCATGAATGGTCTCAGGAGTCCCTACCTAGCTACCTCCAGACATACCAACATCCAATATGTCTAACTGTCTTCCGGCGAAATCTCACAACGATGAGATCTACATTATGCCTGGTGGGTGGCAAGATGGCCATGGTACCGGCGTCGATGTCTACAGCGACCCTCCACCATTCGCGACGCAACCAGTTCCTTGGGTGACCCTCAACCTGGAAGGTAAGCGGCAGCCAGGCCTTTTCTCTTCTAACGGTTGTTTCCCCATGCTAATATCTTGCATCTCACAAGAAAAGGTAGAGCAGGATGTCCCATCGTCAGCGGGAAGCAATCTGAGCACGCAAGTAGTTCATAGATTGCTTGACGAATACATCATCAACGAGCTCCCTATCTTCCTCATCTACCTACCGGAGATGGCACTTGTTCATCGCTCGGCCATTAAGAAACAGCTGGAGCCCACCGGCTGGATTGATGAACTCATCCAACAGCACCAGGAGATGTCCGACTCGCTGCCGTCACCGATGCTGGTGGGTCATGTCGAAGATGGAGTCCCGAGTTATGTCGAATACATGATCATGAGTGAGATCAAGGAGAAGTTGCGGTATGCGATCTTCTCGCACAGATGGCTCCCGGAGGGCGAGCCTTCGTTCCAGGACTTCGCGTCAGGGAGCATAATGGAAGGAAATATACGTAGGCTATGGAACGGGATCGCTGCGTCTGGAGACGTTCCGCTCGCTTTGGTATACCGCAGGCTACGCGAATCGATGCCACGGGCACAGGCTGGATATAGCAAGCTGCTGATGTTCTGCGAAGTTGCAAGGCGGCGTGGATGCGGCTGGGCGTGGTCAGACACCTGCTGCATCAACAAGACGAGTAGCGCGGAGCTTGAGGAGTCCATTCGCTCCATGTTCAGCTGGTACAGGAAGGCGCACGTATGTATCGTGTACCTCAAGGACACAACGAACGAGGAACTGGAGCTGGAACAGGACGAGTGGTTCACACGGGGATGGACGCTGCAGGAACTACTGGCACCAGAGTGTAGCAAGTTTTACAATGGGGTTTGGGAGCCGATGACAGGCCAGGACAATGACAAGGAGTACGAGTTTGACCACGAGGAGGGTTGTAAGGCAGGCGCTGGTGCCTCGTTCCTACGCAGGGTCTCGTCGATTACAGGAATTCCGGTGTCGACGATCACGGATTTCAAGCCAGGACTTCAGGACGTCCGTGGTATGATGGTTTGGGCCTCCAAACGGCACACGACCCGTATTGAGGACATGGCCTACAGCCTCATCGGCCTGCTCGATGTTGATCTCAGAATCTCGTACGGGGAGGGGAAGCGTGCGTTCTACCGGCTCCAAGTTGCGATCTTAGAGAATTGCGCTGAATTCGGGCTCCTTGTGTGGAGCGGGGGCGCGTCGGCTTACAACAGCGCGATAGCTGCAGGGCCAGAATGCTTCTGCCCTGTAGCGTGGGGACCGTTGTCGCCCGTATACTCTGGCGTGCAGAAGAGTTCGGGTGTGGAGCTCAGCTCTGCGTTCACGAACTACGGGTTACGGCTCCCGTTGTCTGTTTACGACGGCCGCAAACAGCGGCAGGACACAGACACGATGTGGTTAGATGTCGAAGAATTGGGTCTGGTAGAAACTAAGACCAAGTATGAAAATCCTCTCATTGATGTCCGGGTCGCAATTGTGCAAAATAATGCGGAGCACCACCCTGGAGATCTAGTTGTAGCGATCCTACTGCTCCCTTATGGTACAGGAGGAGTATACAATGTTTTTCCGACAACAGAGCCTGTTGTTGTGCCACGGCCGGTGGAGCTCAAACCTCTTGAAACGGTATACATACGTTAGATATTCCGGGGATAGGGTGTTTGCGAGTTGGGGTCTCGTAAAGTGCACGTATGTCAGTAGAGCGCAGAGCGCTCAGGCATTATTTCCCTGTAGGTGTATAATATGCATGATATACGACACAACAGCATAGAGAACCAGCGAGGATTACTTTGTTGCTTCACTAGACGCCGCCGGATAACATGACCGGCACAATGACGTCAGAGATAATAAACTTAGTCAGTAGAACAGCGCGCACCACTGAACCAGCAAGTCCGCATTCGCCGAGATCCCTGGGCCGTGTATAAAACCCCCGCAACCAAACAAGCACACGCCATTCCCAGCCCCATTCAACAATCATACCACCGTTCTCACCAACCAATATGTTCCGAGTGCCCCCCACCCTCCGCCTGGCCCCCCTCTTGCTCAGGAAACCATTCTCGGCCACCTCTCACGCCCCTTCCTTCGCAACACAGCTGAGATCGCAATTATACCCCAAATCTACATACACGTATTCTTTGCGCAGCCAGGTGCTCGCGCGCGGTGTCGCGAACAGCGTGTCTGGGCGTCCGGGCTCGCAGACGGCCAGGCAGGCGGCGCTGAACATCAAGGAAGAGGTTGGCAACTCCACGACTGACCTTGCGAAGGCCATCGCCGGCGGGAACGTCTTCCAGGACGCAGTCCTGCCCACGAGCCAGACATTCGTGCGTATCTTCACTATCATTGGCGCTCGGTCGGTGACACTATGGTGGTCTCGTGCAGCTCGGGATCACTAACGCGGTAGCGTCTGCCGTGCCCCAGCCGTACATCATCTTTGGGCTTGCTGGTGGCCTCCCATACGTCGGCGCGGCGGGCGCGACCATCTACCTCGCCCGTCAAGCCGGGATTGCCACCACAGGTGGGTCGTAGATCTGCCTTGTCTGAAATAGCCAGCCAAATCGTTTGAGTAGGCTTCGCCTCCAATATCGACCCCGGCGTGGCGATCACGGTGCTCGACCATGCATTGAACATCCAGATGACGTATGGCGCCGTTCTACTCTCGTTCCTCGGTGCGCTCCATTGGGGATTTGAATTCGCTGGCTATGGCGGGCACAAAGGGTGCGTCTTTTCCGGGTGGCTGCACGGGCTGGACGTGAGCAACATACATTTCGTTTCAGGTACACCCGTCTGCTGCTCGGCGCGGCACCCGTTGTCTTTGGCTGGTCGACGCTCGCGCTGCAGCCTATTGAGGCACTCATCACGCAATGGGTCGGGTTCACCATGATGTGGTGGGCAGACTTGCGTGCCACTGGCGCCGGATGGAGTGCGTTCTTGCCATGGCTGAGCCTGCTAATCGGAATTTTCTGACATATTTTACTTCAGCACCCGCATGGTACTCGCAGTATCGCTTCTACTTGTCCATTCTAGTCGGAACCTGCATCATTGGCTCGCTTGCAGCGACCAGTTACTGGGGCCCAATAGGCGGGCATGGATTGATAAGCCATGACTTGAACATGGTGCGTACCTCGCAATTGCCTAATATCTTGGTTGGCGCTTGACACAGCTTTCGATATGCAGATTCGTGCTGAGCGCAAGCAAAAACAACCTGAAAGCGCGGGCCTTGTTTCTGGCGACATCGAAGCATTGCTCGCGCCGGAAGACAGCGATGCATATGTCATCATCAGGAAGAAGAGCAGTGCGCACGAGAGCCAGCAATCCGAGTGAGCACCTAGAGATTATTCAGTGAGGGGCGTTTATCATCTAGTTAATCTTTTCCGGTCATCCGGAACCAATATCCGCAGTGACGTGCCCAGTAGCAGTGTATCAATTTAATGTACAGTAGTGTACAAGTGTACAGCAGCCGTAGCACGTTTCATGAATGATGCATGATGTACCATAGCTAACAGAATCTTAGCCTGCTCAATATTATTCTGTTGATGTGTATTGCCGAACTGACCTAGTGACATAGCTGAGTTATTGCACCGGTGTAATTTACTCGCGGGTCGATGGTGGTGATTGATTGGAATTTACCCAGAACCTGACCAAAAGACTGCGAGATTCTCCATGGTGAGCCACAATCACTGTCATCAGGATGTTGCAACACACTTGTAGAGTCTCACCTCGCTGTGCTTCGCTACGCCTCGGTGTAGACGAACAGATGGGAATCGCCTTCTAGGCCCCACCAATCCAACTCGTGTCCGTCGTCCCCGTCGATCTCCACGAGGTTGTCGTTGGGCATCTTCAGCCACATCCTTAGAGAAGCCTGCTGGGCCCTGGGAATTTTGCATGACTTGATTAATTTCATACGGAACGCCCGCACGGACATAGTCGGTAGTACACGTAGACGCGTTGAGGGACTGGCGTCCGCAATATCACCAGTGGCCGTAGGTATCTGGGCGCATAGGCACACGGAAATCTCTAAGGAACGCTTGTTAGAGACGGGGTGGGCGGCCGAGAGGCAGCTGCTTGCCTATGAGGCGGCTGCTCAGCGTGTCCTGTTGGCTCCGAGTCGCAGTCTGTGGGGTATCCGGCCGGCCATGCTCTGCGCAGCGGTGATGTGGACAGCAATATCACATTGTGGGAAGGGGGCAGCGGGAAATGGGCCGTCAGCAGGCTACATGACATCGGAAACGCCGACATACTCTCACATAACGCGGCCCATTGCGGGTGCTCTCGCTGCCTCGCGTCTTCGTTCGTCGGTCCGTGCCGGTTCACGTAGGACAGGTAGAATAGCTCGCTGTCGGCTCGTTCATGAAGCGAGATCTATGAGAGCGCGAACGCCCAGTGCCAATCAGTACTCCACGTGCGGAATGAGGCGGGAGATCGCACAGCAGCTGCATCAAGTGTCGTCAAGGAGGGAATACTCGCAATGGCGAACTGCCTCGCATTTCTTATTTGCTCAGGATCTAGATGCATTGACATAAACCAAAATGCTATAGACGATCAGGTCGGAACGGACAACAGGGCAGTTACCTTCGACAAGCGGGTTTCCCGTGAGTGAGAGTGACTCAAGCTCCGGGCACCAGCACGGGATGGCGTTTATGTCGCGCCAGGAGCTCAAGCGGTTGAAAGAAAGTGAGAGGTGTTGTAGGTGCTGGAGCGACGAGACCCACCCATCGGATGGAGGCTCTATGCGCTCAAGGGAATTTGCTGTCAAGACTAGGCGCCGGAGTCTGCAAATATCAAGTCAGAGAATGATGGAGGAACTTCACGAACAGAGATGTACGCTGGATATGTCCGGAGAGCATCACAAACCGTGAGCCAGTTGCTGATGCGATTGGTGTCAAAATTGAGATCCTCGAGTGTCGAGTTCTTCACGGATCCAAGACAACTGTTGTCAGAGAATAAATGTTCCAGGCGATTGTAGCCCATCTCAACAGAGCGAAGTACAGGCATGTCAACGATTATGCGCTGCATTGCATGCCACTCCGTGAGCGTCGCATTGAGCTGGAGTTCACGCAAGTGCCGGAATGCGGATGCCCCACGAAATGCGCCAGTCGGAGGCTGCAAGCGATTCTGACTGCCGTATGACCACTTTAATATTAGAAACAATCTCATTTTTCAGCATTGCGTACTTGAGAGCCAGTCTATGCAGCTGCGGCAGCTGGTCCGTGATCATGGCGACGACGTCCCACGAGCGTATCAGGTTTTTTGAAAGGTCGAGTCCACGAGTGCCTAACAATTATACGCATAAGTGTATTAGTGTCGAAACCCAGATATTATCGAAAACAGGGATGTGCTGTGCACGTGTGAAACAACGGAGGAGCAGCTCAGGTGAGATGCACGGGTAGATGTGACGAAATTGCCACAATTACCAGCACGGACGGAATCCAAACCGAAGCTCCCGTACCGTCCAGTTCAGGTGAAACACGAGTACCCATCGCCACATTGACCACAAATATGGAATTTTGCGCACTCACCAGGACATGTATTTGTGATGGTCCCAGGTGGGTCGGCAGTTGCAACATTCTCACCATCTAAGCTAATCTCCCGGAGGCGCTCTAGCTGCGCCAGGTTGCCTCTAATCCTGTCCAGGCCGACAGCCTCCACCTCGATCGCGCCATTTGACGACCCCAGTATGACCTTCTCTACAGCAGTCGACCCTCGTGGTAGTTCAATGTACTTCGAAATCAAAGATGTCAAGAACGACTGTCCGTACGTTATTGCGGGAGACTGGCGGATGAACGAGCCTGCGCCTGGGACTCTGGAATGATGGGTAGTTCGCTCCCCGACGCGATGAAGCAGATGTAATCTCACGAGCAGGAAAAGTAGCGCTTTCCGTCCTTCACGCCATCGTGTTTTCCTCGCTGTGGGTCGTCCCATTCAACTCCGAGCCATGTGCCAGCAGTGCCTTCAATTTCGCCTACGAATCTGACTGTGCCGAGATATCCGGAGTGGCTCAGTCGAGTCCCGACAGACGGCATTTCTTGACTTCTCATGCCACTGGAAAGTGGCGGTGCAATGTCTAGCTTTCCCAATAATACTAAATCGTAGTCTAGATTCGTCCGAGCCTGTTATTACAATAGATCATATGAATAGAGTGAATTTGTCGCCGATAAATGCGGCCCTGGTATATGTTTTCAGATATGCAGGTTACAGATGACTTAATAGTATGTGGACATACAGCATATTTTTTACGCATAGCTTCTACTAGCTCAGTCAGTTTTCTGTATCCATTTTACCCATTACTCAGGCTATGGATAAAATCGCACCGCTATGTTTTGTCCCTCAGACCGAAGCACATTGACAGCAATCGCACCGTTTGCTCCGATCGTATGTACTCACCGGAAATAAATTATTGGCGTGACTTGGTGTAAGCGTTTCCCTTGCTGATTGGACGGCGTTGAAAGTAAAACCGTAAAGACGTCGAGAGAGAGAGAAACCGCGACCATGAAGCCCAAGATTCTAAGTCACCTACAATGCTTACGCAATATCACTTTGAATAATATGCTCTAGAAAAATGTTTGAAATTGGGCAAGTTGTGAAAATATTGATACGACAACTTTGAGATAGCATAGAGTCTCACGTCTAGACTATATTCGTCGCGTGTTACCGGTCAACTGATTGGCTGGCTGAGCCGCGCATTTCGGTGACACGGACAGCCGTCTAGCCGACAAGATTCCTCCGGCCTCCCACAAACTCGAAAGTGCGTTCTCTACTTGCTCCCAACTTCCATGTTTGCACGCCGTCTTCGTCTGGGGAGAATGACGTCTTCAACCCGTGCAGCTGCGCAGAGGACAGCTGCGATTCACAAGCACATGTCCTCCAGCGCGCCCGACCAGCCGTCCGATGAGGTGAGCACACAGCGCTGTATAACTTGCTGTGCCAGGTCGCACTGTGTGGCTGCCATGTCGCGCTCGGAAATACCGGTGGCTCATTCCATATACGTGTAGCCGCTCGTGGTGTTCAAGTCGGACGGCTGTCTGAGGTCGTATGCGCTTAATCGGCCGTCAAAACTGAACGCGCTCAATCAGCCCATGCTAGATCTCCTGAGGCCACAAATAGAGGTGCGTCTCTTTCAGACGTACGTGTATGTGACAGTCTGAGCGAAGTTTACGGGGAGGGGAGCGCGCTGCTGGACTGTGAGCTGGCGCATGTCGGCCGAACGTTCATGTACAGTCCGGCTCCATTTTGAGCGGCGAACTGAGGCCCAGGATCAACCACACCCTCTGTGTTATTTGTGGCCACTATATTGATCAGCTTGTTTTTGCGTTCCATAGGAGTGGAGCAAAGGCGATCTCCCGGGTGTCATTGTGGGTACAGGTATTGGCAGAGCATTCTGCGCGGGCGGTGATGTAGCGAGTAAGTGTTCCTTCATTCTTGAGAGCTCGATGCAGATGGCTGACAAACCTAGCCGTTGTTGAGGACGCCGCGCATCCGGATACGCTCCCCAAAGCGATCAGGTTTTTTTCGCAGGAGTGAGTTATGCGGGCTCATCTCCGTTCCGTGCCTCATACTGATGTCACCCAGGTTTGAGTTGGACCACATACTGGCGACTATGCCCAAGCCATATATTTCCATCATGGACGGAATCACGAGTTAGTCATCGTCATCTACCATTACAACGCGTATAATCTTGCTTATTTTTATGCAATACAAATAGTGGGCGGCGGTGTCGGGCTTGGCGTGAACGCGCCTTTTCGGATAGCGACCGAAAACACGAATTTCGCCATGCCCGAGACTAAGATCGGGTACTGCCCCGACGTTGGCGCGAGCTTCTTCCTCTCGCGCGTCGACGGCGAGATCGGAACATACCTCGGGCTTACCTCCGAAAGCCTGCGCGGCCGAGCGGCTTTGTGCGTCTCCTCCCTCCCCCTCCGGGGCTTGTTGCATTCGTTACTCACGCCCGCCCAGCGAGCACGGCTTTGCTACTCACTTTGTCCCCGCGCGCCGGATCCCAGGCCTGCTCGAGCGCCTCGCGGCGATGGACGCACCATCGTACGCGCAAATCGACGCGCTGCTCGAGGAGCACCGTGCCGAGCGCATGCCGGGCGAGCCGAGCAGTCCTCTCGTCGGCGCGGTACGCGTGGCGCTCGACGCGGCGTTCAGGCACGATACAGTCGAGGAGATCGTAGCAGAGCTGGAGACGCTCGCAAGTGGCAGCGAGCACGCAGCCGTCCGCGAGTGGGCGGCGAGCACACTAGAGGCGCTTGCCCAGCGGAGCCCAACGAGCCTCAAGGTCGCGCTGGCCGCCGTGCGAAAGGGCAAGGCGATGACGCTGCTCGAGGCGCTGCAGATGGAAATGAACATTGCGTCGGCGTTCTGCGTGCGTGCTGGATCTGTTTGCTCTGCGCGCTTCGCGCTCATATCTGGCTTCTCATTTTGTGCGTCCTGCAGCACGGCGTCAGCCCTGACTTCCGCACTGGCGTCACGGCGGTGATGGTGACGAAGCTGAAGGGGCGGCCAGATTGGTCCCCTGCGACGCTGGACGGCGTGTCGGACGCGTGGGTACGGAAGGAGTTTTTCGAGACGTACAACCCGGACCAGGGAACCGCCCCACGGCTGGCGTCTACAGTTTCGTCGGCGAAGGGGGCGGTCGATCCGATGCGATACGCGCTGCCGACAGAGGATGAGATTCGACAGATGGTGGACGGGAGCCATAGGAGTAGTGGGAGCACGGTGGTGACATTGGAAGAGCTGGTGAAGAAGTTTGAGGAGCTGAAACGAGGCAAGTCGGGCGTTCGGGAGAAGGTCCTCGAGGTAGTGCAGCGGCGGTGCACAACGGAGGAGGACAAACATCTCGGCCAGAAGTGGCTTGTGTGGAAACACTAGTCGCAGCGGTTTACAATTGATTTACCTTTACGAGCTTACTTTCATCAGTAAAATTTGAAGCTGGCATATGTTCAATTTTGCTCCCGGAAGATGTGAAAGTTGTTATGGAACCGGCACAATAGCGCAGCAGGAATCAGGCATGCGTTTCACGATATATTTCGTATGGTACGTCAGTGTCCTGAAATTGTGACAAAGTCTGGAGGAATTGGTTATTATGATTTGATTATACGAAAGTCCCCTCTTACTGCACTGATCATACCATAGAATTCTGTCACCATGAGATCTGAAAATATTCATATTCCAACGGGTCGCAATCAATACCTAGGTGGGCGGTCGTACCGATAAATGATGTCGAACAATTGGCTGACAGCACCGTGAAGAAACTGTGACATTGCAAGGGATTTGGACCAGAATTGAAAACGTCGACATATCTTGTATTTCCCCGCAGCTATTGGTCCCCGCAACTATTGAAATCTCCTCATTCTGGCTCTGGCGTATAGTCGATGATGACCTGTCCAATCTCAAGAGCATCCTTGCTGAAAGCCCGTACGTTCTTGACGACCCAGTGCTAGCCAACTCCCCTCCGTGCCCACGCCAGCTTCATCCTCAACACGGCCCTCGGCCGGCTTTCTCCTGACGAGCATGTGCCTCTATAAAGCCCTTGTCAGCGAGAATCGGCGGCCCTTCAGGACGTAGACCGCATCTGAGCACCCACAGGTGAACACGGTGTACTGCGCACGCACTCGGCCTCTCTGGCGACGCTGGGTCAGTTTGTATCCAGTGCTGAATTCCGGACTCCGAGCCCCGTCATCACGGTGATGCCTGGGAGCAGGGCGTTGGGATCCTTCTCGGAGAAGAGGCACAGCATGCCTGCGCTGAGAAAGCAGCCAGGCCTTGCCCCGTTCCCCGCATACCGTCTGGACTGCGCCGCGGATTCCACCGCGAGCTCAGATTGGTGATGTCGAGGCCGGCCACCTTCAGCGCGAACAGATTTGAGCAATCACTGCAGCGGAGCCCCAGTGATTGGCGCCTGGAGTCTGTTTTGAATTCGAGGAGACGTTCTCGAATCAAGGCACGGACGGGGGTCCGCGAATGGGGAAATGACAGAAAGGGATTCACGGTGGAAGCACGTTGGAATCGAGCGAAGAGAGTTGAACAGATTAGTTGGCGGGACGCAGGTGGCGAATGATGGCATGTCAGTCTACCAGGACGTGCGCATCGTCGAAATACACGACGATCCTCACATTGTTTGCGGGCATGCTCGACTAGTTGGTTTTCCACAAGAGGGACAACCTGGAGTAATTATATTTCAGAATCTGTGCTCCAGCTGTGAATAAGCGACATACACGACCTGCTCGCACGGCGGGCCTCATCGAGCGCGCTACTAGATAGGCATCAGCAAAAGTGGGTGCCGCTGGACCGCTGGAGCTCTGGAACGGTTGTGTTACAGCCACAGCTTGGAGGCTGTAGACTGTGGAATTTTTGCACGGCGTTTATGGCAAGGGCAATCGGAGCCCATACAATAACGCCAGTTGTGTAACATGCCCAAACATACAGCCTGAAACGGTGGTGTTCTAGAGTGCGTTTATGAGGTTCTGGCAGCTGAACAGCTGGAGTGATGGAATCACCTCCGAGTCGGTCTGGAGCCACTGGTGCAGCGTTTGCGGCAATTGCCCGTTTTCCTGATGCAGGTACGCCTGCCAAGGGCGAGCTAAGGGAGGTTTACACGATTGGCAGTGTCATCAACAGGGTCAACGCTGTCCGGCACGTACCCACCTCTAAAGCGTGCGTGGCTACGGAGGTTGAACGTTGAACGGCAGCGTAACGACCAGCCTCGCTTGCTCATATACCATGCGGGATTTTCCCGTTCCTGGATTCTGCACTACGGTAACTGTGCGGTTTTGATAGATGATAGGTACCAGGGCTGCATATATGCCCGTTTAATCTTGCCTGAGCTGTAATGACCATGTCAATGTCTGCGGAGTCGCCAACGTTTCATGCTCTGGGTCGAAGAAAATTCATTCCGTCGGTCAATGCAGTAAAAATGAGACTGTATGCGAAACCTGCTCAGCCAAAACACAGTGTAAAAAAATTCCCGCATCCGTAGGGTGTTGGCCAACAATTGCAGGCTCAGATAGTGTTTATTCTGGCGGGGCGGTCGTGGTAGCGTCTAATAAATCGACGCGCTTTGCGGCGCGACGAGTTACTATATCGGGAAAGCCCGCCCTCGAGCTCGACTTTGAAACGGCAGCAGCACACACGCACAAGGCGGTGCTGATAATTAAACGCATGCTTATATAATTGGATAGTAAAATTGCCTCACCAAGCCTCTATTTAATTTAGTTGGACATGATGAGGAGACCTATTCCCATTTTCCAATTTTCTTGAGAACATAAGTTCATTGAGGTCAGTTTCAAATATTAGTCACTGTACGCATCACATAAGGCACCTACGACATTATCAATAACCAAGGTCCACTTCGAATGGCTCCGGAGTCGGTCGTGGCTCCGTCATGGCAACGCGAAACGGGGATCGGGGTGGGTCACATGACAGAGAATCGGCCGTTTGAAGCGGGGGCGCACCAAGCGCCTGGGGCCCTGGAATGATCACAGCACTGAGCAACAGCGCAAGTCGAGCCTTTTGCTCCGAGTCACTCCGCGTCGCTGTTCTCACCACGTTTTCTCTCACAGACTTGATGATGGGCATGAAACGGTTCTTTGGGTAGGAGCCATTCTCTGACAATCGCCCGAGAACAGCATGAGCATTGACGAACGGTTGCGATGGCGCTGCTGGAACTGAGATGCTCTCAGCCTGCGAGCGGACAGTGGCTTACGCACGGGGGACGGCGACGAGGGCTTTCTCAGGCGCAGAAGGGTGAGCCGTTGTTTCGCCTGTATTTGACAACACTGACGGGCTGGTGCGGCAGGCAATCGTATTTGACTGCCCTGACAAGCTGGTGCTGGAGGTAATTGTAATTGACAGGCCCGCAAGTGGGCGGGGATACAGCATCGGCGCCGCTCCCGATTTTGCATTCCGGTCAAATTGACGCAGAAGACTGCTGTACCGACCAAGTGATGTAGCGGGCGATTGGCGGTGCAACCATCGCCGCCCAGGGCCGTGGGGGGGATCATGGCGCCAGGTGGGGGTGCAAGCGTCCAGGAACGCGGGGAGGAGCAGCCCGGGAACGGGAGGAGCATGCGGGGAGGGAGGGAGCCATGTGTGCGTGCGTCTTCGCGTGTAAGTTGGACGGAGCGAGAACGGACGGCAGGCGCAGGGGCCGCGGGAGTCGGAGTCGAAGGGGCAACTGTACGTGTGATGTTCTTCGGCGACGTGCGACAATCCCGATGGGTCGGTGCGGCCGGGGGACGGCAGGTGCGGCGCGGCGCGGCGGCGAGGCGGGGCACGGGACAGGACGGGCGGAGGCCGAGGCGGGGGCGGGGGCGGAGGC